AGTTGGCTCAAATTCATGTCCATTGAGTGGGTGATGCTATCCAACCATCTCATCCTCTGTTGCCCCCTTCTCCTTTTGCCTTCACTCTTTGCCAGCATCAGGATCTTTTCTAATGAGCTGGCTCTTTGAATCAGGTGGTCAAAGTATTGGAGCTTTGGCATCAGTCCTTCCAACCAATATTCAGGGTTGATTTCCTTTAAGAGTGACTGGTTTGATCTCCTTGCAGTCCAAGGGACTCTTAAGAGTTTTCTCCAGCACCCTAGCTCAAAAGCATCACTTCTTCGGCGCTCAGCTTTCTTTATAGTGCAACTCTCACATCCATACATGACTACTGGAAAAACCATAGTTTTGACTATACGGACCTTTGTCAGCAAAGTGATGTCTGCTTTTTATATGCTGTCTAGGTTTGTCATAGCTTTCTTTATAAAAAAGCAGGTGTCAATTTGATGGCTGCAGTCACTATCCACAGTGATTTTAAAGCCCAAGAAAATAAAATCTGTCTCTAAAGGAGCTGGCATACATTTGAAATATTTTGGCCCTTAGCAAGACTCAATAAAGGTTTGTATTTCTGTGTGTGTGTGTGTGTGTGTGTGTGTGTGTGTGTGTACACGTGTGCATACATATATGCAATCAGGTAAAATCTATGCAGATCAAAGTGGACCCTGATGAAGAAAAACCACTGTGATGAAGTCCCTGGGTGTCTAGGGTCTCCTCCATGTTGTTAATGTATCTTTTAATTGTCTTTTAATTGTCCAGCATATCTTTTAATCTCCCAAGTTCAATTGGGAGCCTGGATAGTAGATGGAAGGCTTCCAGCACTGTCAAGAACAGTCTAATAATTCGAGTCTTCCAGAGCACATTTCTTGCCAGTGCAGAGGGTGAGGGTTACTGCCTTCAACTCTGAGGCCAGCTATTCTTACCTGGGGATAAGAGCAAAAGTGTTGAGCTTCAATAATGAGACTTATATATTTATTTATTTATTTGCAATTTAAAACTAAGCCTTAACCAGTTTTTTTTTTTTCCATTCTTTGTTCTTTTAAAAAATGGCCTTATTATGACAGCATTATAGTACTTAGGATTCAGCATCCAGTTTAAATAAATAGTTGTGTTTTACCCATACTAATTGTAATGATTATATGTTATTTTGTGGGAAATGCTGAAAAATTGTGCTCAGGGTGGGTCTCACAGATAATGAATTTACCTTTTTGTGTAATAGGTCTCAGCTTTTAATAAGCCCGCAATTTTCTGATGGTCCGACAAAAAAGATCCCAAATTGCATTTGGAAAGTGTCAAGGAAAATAAGCTTTCTCTCTAAAAAGATGAATAATTTCAATTACTCCTCAGACGATCATTTTGGCCCATTAAATGCTTTCCCCGTTTGCCATTCGGGCTGACATCGGTGGCTTTGCTATCAAAGAACATTACTGTCATCGCCTTTGTGGAAACGGGCCTTCCCTCCCCACTCCAAGGTCATTTTTTGTGGCCTTGGGAGGACCCAGCGGCAGTGGAAACAATAGCACAGCTTGTATTCATGGCCTTTGGGGAAATGCAGTGTTGTCGGCCAAGGAAGAAATGGCCAGGGCTGGGCGGAGACTCTGGGGGTTTGGGCAGGATCTGAATCTCTTGCTGAAGGTTGTGATTCCCCCTCGACTCTTGCAGGCTTCGTGCCCTACCTGAGCTGCCAGGGCACCTCCAGCGAGGACAACATGGCCCACTGTCTGAAAATCTTCCAGGATAACACACAGCGGTATAAAGACCGGCTGGAGGAATTCCACTGCTCTGTGGCCGCTGCCCCCAAACTGAAACCTGTCCGCTCGGAAGGGACGGTCCTGCGGACACTGCACCAGTATTACCGGCAGTACCATCCCTTGAGTCTGGGTACTGGCTTCTGGACCCTGGCCCCCCCTTCACGCTGGGCCCCATTGCAAGGCCTGGCTGGCTTGCTAAGCGGCCGCCGAGAGTACCGTTCCAGATCCCCAGGCATCTATGCAAAGTGGAGAGGCTCAGTTGCTTAGAAGGAGAAAGAAACATTTCCAAGGGGAGAGGGAGACAGCTGGGGAAGAGGGTGTTGGTACTCAGTTCCCTGGGTGGTCATCACGGAGGTTCCAAGAGCAGCTGTGGCCTCAGTGTGCATGTGTGCTAAGTCACTTCAGTCGTATCCGACTCTGCGACCCTGTGGACTAGAGCCCACCAGGCTCCTCTGTCCATGGGATTCTCCAGGCAAAAATACTGGTGTGCATCACCACACCCTCCTCCAAGGGATCTTCCTGACCCAGGGATTGAATCCACATCTCTTATGTCTCCTGTATTGGCAGGCGGGTTCTCTACCACTAGCGCCACCTGGGAAGCCCCTGTGGCCTCAGTAGTTATGACTTTTCAGTTGCTTTCTCTGTGCCTGGCACCGTTATTTCATTAACCACCCATCAGCCGTATGAAGTCGATACTGTTATTCCCACTTGAGCATAGTGTCCCTTGTCTGAGGTCAGACCTGGGGTTTGAACCCAGCTCCTCCAGGTGCTAGCTGGGCAGGAAGGGCTTTTGCACTGAATAACAACCATAATAACAGTGAAAAAAAACAGCTGATGATATGACTGTGTAATGTTAGTCATCAAAACAGTGATTTATCCTAGCTGGTTTTTAAGGTCTAACATCCAACAGGAAAAGTAATGAACTGATTACCTTTATTATTATTACTGTAACTGGGGACTTTTCAACACATGCTAGCTCACATGTTTGCCATGCTTTAGAAATTTCCCAGCCATTATAAGAAGCACCAGCCTAAGAGTTTGGGCTTTAGCCCAGCTCTGTAACTCTTTGCTGTGTGATGTAGGGCAGGTAGCTTCCCCTCTCTGGGTACAGTTCCTTCATCTAAGGCAGGGAAGGATGGACTAGAGTCTCCCTAGGGTGCCTTCCAACTTTGAGGTTCTGGGACTTTCTGGTCTAATTCAATTCTTACAGCAACTGGAGGAGACAGAGGCAGGCAGTTATCTTTCATCTCACAAATGTGAGATTGCCGAAGGTCCACCCGCCAGGCGGCCAGAGCTAGGTGTGTTGTGCCTTTTCCTGACCTACATGCTTCTCCTGTAGGTCAGCAGCAAATGCCTGGAGCTTTTGTGTTGTTGTTACTCTGAGAAAAGAGTGGGATCCATTTAAGAGCAATAACTTGGGAATCAGAGAAACGCGGGTCTAAATCCTGGCTCTGTCACTTCCTTGCTATGTGACCTCAGCCAAGATTCTCTTCACCTCTCTGAGGCCTCAGTGTCCTGCTCCACAAAAATGTTGGTGGTAATAGCACCGACTTCTTAGAGTTTGTAAGACAATGAGATGAGAGAGAGAGGAGGGCCTATGTAAAGCCCCACCAAATGCAGAGGCAGAGAATAAACCAACCAGTGGTAGCTGTCCTCATCACGTCTCGGAGCCTGGAGCTATCCCCAGGGCTGATTGTTGAGCTGCTGGCTGGCTTGGGAGCGCTGCCCACTGGATGGCTTCTCAAAGCCCTCAAGGAAGCATGGCATCTTTTTTATAGAATGCAAGAACATAAAGAAACCTCTCCATGAGCCCCCCATCCCCGGCTGGGCGGGCTACCTGCCAAGAGCCAGGGTCACTGAATTAGGCTGCGCCACGCGGTACACCGTCATGGCCAGAAACTGCTACAGGGACTTCCTGGACCTCGTGGAGCGGGCCAGACAAGCACATCTGAAACCACATGAGGAGTAAGTCTGGCTTGGGTGGTAACTGCAGAGAGCGAGAACCAGGGGAAGAGCCCATCAGGGTTTCCAGATGCCCCCAGCCCAAAGCTAGGACTGATTTTTTTGTGTGTCTGATTTGTTTTTGCAAGGCGGCCACGTTTGTAATTGCAGGACCTCCCAAGTAGGCAGCCACGTCCTGCCCTCCAGCCCCCCACTTGCGCCCAACAAGCTCCAGGAACCCTGCTTCTGGTCTTTGCTGGTTTGCAGGGAGAGGCTGGGAGTAAAAACCAACAGGGCCCCCCTGTCCTGGCAGCAACCTGAGGTCTAAGGTTGCTGAGGAAAGGAGATGGTAGGACACTGCTGGGGGTGGGGCGCTTGCGGCCTCAGTTTTCTATTCTATAAGATGGAGATGATGATCCTTGAGGGTAAATCGTCAGGATCAGAAATAAATATACCATGCTCGTATGGGACCTGCATAGATTATACTTATTTTTATCATTAGTAAAAGGAATAACTAAGACTTTTGTTCTTACTTTAGAATATATGGAGTTAAGTCCACACCACCTCCTCCTACTCCTCCTCCAAAAGTTTTGTTGCATGAAGGGCTGCTGTCAAAATATCCGGATTTCTCTATTCCAGGTAAGGAGGGACTTTCTTTCCTGGCCTGCTGTTTTTAAAGTGGGACCGGATGTTTGCAGTAGCCCCTCTGCTTCGCTGGACCACCTGCCTGCAATGCGTGGGGCTGATTTCTCTTCCAGGTGCGAGGTGTCCTACCCTCAGCCGAGCCTTGATGGAGGACCCTAGGCCCCTGATGACGTGTGACTGTACTCAGAGGCCAAGTGTTTGGTGCGGCAGGAAGATTTATCTAGAGCCACTGTCTGCAGGAAAGGACATGGAAGGGTAGGAGTGGAGAGCTTCCTAAGGAGAGGCGGATGTTACCGGGGGATCAGAAGCTTCCCGTCCTCACACGAGAGTACTTCACACACCCAACAGGCACAGGGGAAAGTTCCTAAGAATCCTTTTCACTGCCACCTGCATCCTGACCGTTGGGCAATAATATGTCATTCGTGATAAAGGCCTTTTATCGTGTGAGTATAAAGAGGAAACACTGCTCAGCCTTCTGAAGCTTTCTGTGGATTTTCTGCAGGTTCCGTTGACCTTGATGGGTGGGACCCTTTCTTCCTGACCCCAGGGTAACATTGTACGCGTGGTAACATTGTGGCTGAAGCTCTAGCCCAGCCCTCTAATGATTCGGTCCCCATCAGTCACCTTGGGTCATGGTGTGGCAGTCCCCAACATGGGCACAGAACCATGCCCCCCCAAACCCTAGTGTTTCAGAACCCCAGGCCAGGAAAGCCATTGTACTGGTTTCCTAAGGCTGCTGCACAGGTACCACAAACCGGGTGGGATAGGATAGCAGAAATTTATTGTCTCATAGTTCTGGAAGTCCACTTTCAAGGTGTTAGCAGGGTCATGCAGCCTCTGAAACCTTGGGAGAAAATCATTCCTTGCTTTTCCTCACCTCCTGGTGTTGTGTGTGTGTGCGCGCGCATGCGCATGCATATGCACACGTGCATGTGTGTGCTCAGTAGTATCCAACTCTTTGCAATCCTAAGGACTGTAGCCTGCCATGCTCCTCTGTCTGTGGGATTCGTCAGGCAAGAATACTGGAGTGGGTTGCCATTTCCTTCTCCAGGGGATCTTCCTGACCCAGGGGTCAAACCCGAGTCTCTTGCATCTCCTGCATTGGTAGGTGGATTCTTTACCTCTGAGCTACCTGGGGAGCCCACCTGGGTGGGCTGTTAATCCTGGGTGATTTTTGGTGCATAATTCCAGTCTCTGTCATCGTGTGACTTCCCTGTGTCCCTGTGTCTTCTTCACATGGCTGTTTCTAGTGAGGACACGAGTCATACTGCCTAAGGGCTGACTCTTCTTCAGTATGCCCTCTTCTGAACTACAATTACACCTGCAACCATCGTATTTCCAAACGAGTCACATTCTGAAGTGCTGTGATTAGGGCCTCAATATATCCTTTTTGGGGAGGGTGGGAGCCGGGGGTCAGGGGGAGACACAATTCAACCCTTAATACTGGCTGAATTTTTATCACTGACAGGCACTCTCACTAACTTTACTCTGAAGCCGTTGGCACAAAGAAGAAATCAAAAGCAGTTCCTGCGGTCATGAGGCCATTGTTATTAATATCAAAAGATTCAAAGCTGCCTGCCAGGCCAGGAACTTCCCTGGTTAAGGCTTTGCCTTCCAGCACAGGGCGTGTGGGTTCAATCCCTGCCTGGGGAGCTAAGATCCTGTATGCCTCATGGCCAGAAAACCAAAACATAAAAACATAGAAACAATATTGCAACAAATCCAATAAAGACTTTAAAAAAAAAAAAAACAACTGCTGGGGCAAAAGATGAACTGAGCTACTCTTGGGAGTTTTCCCCCAAGGTGGGAATTTTCACCTGGGCTCTCTGGATCCCCAAGTTTCCATGGGTAGAAATCAGTAGTCATGTCTTTGACTCTGATAGGAAATAAAGAACTGGAATGAGAAAAAAGTTACACCTTTGTTTTCACTCACCTCCAAGTGAAATATAATATTTCCTTTGTTGATGAATGTAGGCAACAAACCACAGCTGTACCTGTCACCTTGGCCCAATATAAATCCCAGATCTTTTCATATCATATGACATTTGTTGCAAACAGCTTGAAATAATGTTGATCAGTACTTGTAATTATAGTTGTTATTGAAGATACTGTATCTATTCTCTAACATTGTTCTTCAGTGTACCTATAAGCAAACACTTATCACAAATTTTTTCTTTTCAGTTGCTTGATACAATTTGATATAATTAGTTTGCTAATTATATTTCTCATGTATTATACTTTATACATTAAAAAACATTGTTCTGAGAAGAGGTCCAAGGTTCACCAGACAGCCAGAGGGTGCAGGGCACAGAAATGGAAAGGAACCCTACCTGGGGAACAACTGAAGACGTGTGTAAAAGATGAGTGTTATACAAAACAACACCCCAAACCCAATGGGATGTGACATTACAATGCATCCTGTTAGTAAAAGATAACATGGGACTTCCCTGGTAGTACAATAGATAAGACTCCACCTGCCAATGCAGGAGACACAGGTTCAGTCTCTGGTCCAGGAAGATTCCACATGCCACGGGGCAACTAAGCCCATGCACCACAACTCCTGAGCCTGCATGCTTCAAATACTGAAGCCCGCATGCCCTAGAGCCTGTGCTCCACAACACGAGAAGCCACCATAATGAGAAAGCCTGTGCCTCGCAATGAAGAGTAGCCCCTGTTTGTCAAAATTAGAGAGAGCCACAAAGATCTATAGCACAGCCAAAAGTAAATCATTAATTTAAAAAGATAATGTGATAGAAGAATGTTATTGTGGAAAAATATTTATGATAATAGTATGTGCAAAAAGCAGCAAACAATAAAACCCATGAGTACACACACACACACACACACAATAATTCTGTTTTTCTGTTTAAAAATGAGGTTGGAGGGGCAAAGGGAGCTAAACCATAATACTAACAGTGATTATTTGGCTGATGGTGTTATTGGTGTTTTTTACCTTCTTGTGTTTGTTCCAATTCTCTACGGCCAACAGGTATTGTTTTCACATTCAAAAAATGTTTTCCTTATTTGAATTGGTAAAATCCTCTTTTGAAGCAATTAATAAATAATCTTTTAGAGATTCCATGGTTAAAGGAAAAAGGCCACAACTCAATAGAAAGTAACTTCATGATCTTTCAAGGGCTAGGGCCAAGTTCAGTGAATAGTTGGGAGTTTTTCCAGCTTTTTTTTTTTTTTTTTAACACCCTGGGAGAGTGATCCCACAGTCCTGGGAAGGAGATCCATCCCTCATGTGCTTCAGGCTGGTGGTCCAGGCTGCTGCATGCATACCGGCCCCTCAGAAATGAAGAACACAGGAGGCAATTCTGCCTGTTCCACTCTCCCTAACCTACAGAGTTTGCAGATGTCTGTTCTGGACCCAAAGTTTTGAAGTCTCTGCCCATGAAATTAAGGGATCAGTTCAGTTCAGTCACTCAGTTGTGTCCAACTCTTTGTGACCCCATGGACCACAGCATGCCAGGCTTCCCTGTCCATCACCAACTCCTGGAACTTACTCAAACTCATGTCCATAGAGTTGGTGATGCCATCCAACTACCTCATCCTCTGTCGCCCCCTTCTCCTCCTGCCTTAAATCTTTCCCAGCATTAGGGTCTTTAACAATGAGTCAGTTCTTCACTTTCTAACACCATACACAAAAATAAACTCAAAATGGATTAAAGATCTAAATGTAAGACCAGAAACTATAAAACTCCTAGAGGAGAACATAGGCAAAACACTCTCTGACATAAATCACAGCAGGATCCTCTATGACCCACATCCCAGAATTTTAGAAATAAAAGCAAAAATAAACAAATGGGACCTAATGAAACTTAAAAGCTTTTGCACAACAAAGGAAACTATAAGCAAGGTGAAAAGACAGCCCTCAGATTGGGAGAAAATAATAGCAAACGAAGCAACAGACAAAGGATTAATCTCAAAAATATACAAGCAACTCCTCCAGCTCAACTCCAGAAAAATAAATGACCCAATCAAAAAATGGGCCAAAGAACTGAACAGACATTTCTCCAAGGAAGACATACAGATGGCTAACAAACACATGAAAAGATGCTCAACATCACTCATTAAAAGAGAAATGCAAATCAAAACCACAATGAGGTACCATTACACACCAGTCAGGATGGCTGCTATCCAAAAGTCTACAAGCAATAAATGCTGGAGAGGGTGTGGAGAAAAGGGAACCCTCTTACACTGTTGGTGGGAATGCAAATTAGTACAGCCACTATGGAAAACAGTGTGGAGATTTCTTAAAAAGCTGGAAATAGAACTGCCATATGACCCAGCAATCCCACTTTTGGGCATACACACCAAGGAAACCAGATCTGAAAGAGACACGTGCACCCCAGTGTTCATCGCAGCACTGTTTATAATAGCCAGGACATGGAAGCAACCTAGATGCCCATCAGCAGACGAATGGATGAGGAAGCTGTGGTACATATACACCATGGAATATTACTCAGCCATTAAAAAGAATTCATTTGAATCAGTTCTAATGAGATGGATGAAACTGGAGCCCATTATACAGAGCGAAGTAAGCCAGAAAGATAAAGACCATTACAGTATACTAACACATATATATGGAATTTAGAAAGATGGTAATGATAACCCTATGTGCAAAACAGAAAAAGAGACTCCGATGTATAGAACAGACTTGTGGACTCTGGGAGAAGGCGAGGGTGGGATGTTTCAAGAGAACAGCATCGAAACACGTATATTATCTAGGGTGAAACAGATCACCAGCCCAGGTTGGGTGCATGAGACAAGTGCTCGGGCCTGGTGCACTGGGAAGACCCAGAGGGATCGGGTGGAAAGGGAGGTGGGAGGGGGGACCGGGATGGGGAATACATGTAAATCTTATGGTTAATTCATCTCAATGTATGACAAAAACCACTGCAATGATGTAAAGTAATTAGCCTCCAACTAATAAAAATAAATGAAAAAAAAAAAACAAAACAATGAGTCAGTTCTTTACATCGGGTGGCCAAAGTATTGGAATTTCAGCTTCAGCTTCCAATGAATATTCAGAACTGATTTCCTTTAGGATTGACTGGTTTGATCTCTTTGCAGTCCAAGGGACTCTCAAGAGTCTTCTCCAACACCACAGTTCAAAAGCACCATTTCTTCAGTGCTCAACTTTCTTTATGATCCAATTCTCACATCTGCTGGGAGCCATTATGGGAGGTCCCGCCCGTGACGAGGTCATGAAGAAAATACTGGACAGGCAAGGCTGTCCGGGACCCCATCCATGACGAGGTCGCGAGGAAAAAACCTGACAGGCAAGGCCGTCTAGGATAAGGGACCCTCCAGGTTGGCCTCGGCCTCTACCCCACCCTGTATCCTCCCCCCCTTTTCTGCTGTTGTTCTTGTTTGCCCTGTTGCAGATTCTTGTGTTGCCTGCCGAGAGCTCTCCTGCTCCTCTTTCACTGAATGAGGACCAACTTAAAACCCTAATTAATAAATCTCCTGGACGCTCGTACCCTATGAAAGGGCCAGAGGTGAAGGAAATGCTTCCATTTAAACATTTTGCTGGCATTCTGGCTTGTTTGATAAATGTGTGATCTCATTGCACAAAATGCTCTTGATTGTTCTAAACATCCTAAGCACAGTACGCTAACAAAAGCGTATTTGTGAGAAAAGCTCCACAAATATGATAGCCACAAATATGCCTAATAGAAAATACTTTAGATAGAGATTAGCTGGCGACTTCTTGCAGGTAGTTAACTTTTAGACTAAGAGCCTGTTTTGTGCCATATCTACTGTTTCTGCAGTCCTTCGCATTTCTGTTCTGTAAAAATGTAATCCTATCTAGTTCCCGTAGAGATTACGCTTATTAGAAAGAAAATAGATTAATTATAAGAAAAACAGGGTCGGCTACTGAAGTTGCTTAATTCACACCAGGTGCAAGCCATAAAATGTTAGCAGGCCTGAAGGCCAAATGATAAGAAAGACTCTTGTGAACGAAAAAGTGTGTGGGTGACATCCAGTTTCTGTTGAAGGTCAAGTTGCTGTAATGTTTTAAGATGATCTGTATGTAAGCAATATGCACTTCCCCCAAAGATGTTGTTAAGGGTATAAAGGAGCCATGCAAAAATAAACTTCAGACTTAGCCCTGAGCTTTGTCTCAGTCTCTCTCATTCGCCGATGCTGTT